TAAGATAGTGAATATCTTGGAAAGAAGACAAATGCCACTTCCTCCTATAGATGTGGATAATAATCAAGAATTCAAGGTAAAAAAAGTCTTAGACTCAAGGCAACACCAAAATAAGTTAGAATATCTTATTTATTGGTGCAGATATGATATTAGTGAATGCACATAGAAGTAATGAAAGAATCTTGTAAATGTAGCAAAGAAAGTTGAAACCTTTCATCAATGAAATCCATCAAAACCAAGATGAAAAATAAAAAAATCTTTGTTATAAAAGAAACAAGATCAAAGGAAGTTAATATTCTACTTTCTATCTTTCTTTGTAGTTTTTGTGTATTTGTGATGCTAAAGCAATAGAGAACCAATAACTAACAAATTCAACTTAAGAGCTTTTATTTGCAGACTTACAAGATGAGACATTGCAATTGTCACAACCTTCAAGACGACAAAATCAAGATGAAGATCTTCAAGAATGATATGCCTTTTTTCAAATAGATGGTGAGATATAACGTCTTTGGTGTTAAGACCTTGGAAGAGACTCCCAATGTTTGGTGATTTTATTAGAGGTAAAGAACAATTCTTGATGGTATTTCAAATATTTTATTTGAAAGAAGTTACTAAGGCCTTAACAACGATTAAATAATAGGATGGTCTTCTGACCTTGGTATAGGATACTATCAATGGCTAAGAGGGCCTATCAACCATCTTCAAAGAGAGCAAAGATTGAAGAATGTGGCAAATATAATTCATCACATCTTAAACTTCTTCAACATATGAAGACCACCCTTCATGGAACTCGTTCCTAGAAAGAGGAATAATATCATGAACATATACATTTATCCCAATAATTACTTATATGATTAGGTGGAAGTAGGTAAATATAGATTAATTTCATAAAGTCTTTTAGAGAAGCTTCCTAGAAGCTTCATAGACGAGTTTTGACTTTAGATATATTTATAGATTAGAAACTTGGTTAACAAATTAACTATATTGTTGTGATATAAAATAGCTAATAGATGAAAGGATGAAAAAATATCATATTTTTTAAGATCTTCTTTCAAATATATTGTAACAAATTATCTTAGAAAAATAGATAATAGTCAAGGGATAAAAAAATTAAATGTGTTAATGCTACCTTTTTATAAAATAGGCTTCTACTCACTTTGTAGGACCACAAATAGAAAAAAATAAAGTAGATTAAAAAAATAAACAGTATAGGCACCTTTGAAAAGAAGAAAAGAGTAGTTTGTGGCGAAAATCACCTTAAAAACTCAAGATTTGATACCTAGAGAGGACCAGTTATCAACCAGGGTCGAAATTAGATGCCAAGGCACAAAACCAAGCCTCAATGATAATTTTGGGATTCTTTTGGAGATCAAAGAGTAGGGCCTTAGAGTTGACTTGATGAAATTTTTTTATGCATTAATTTGAAGTGATTTAAGTGTATATTGACTTTGTAAGAGCTTTACAAAGTCAGGATTTGTTTTGGATGACTCTAGATTTATGAAATAAAATGAGTGATACTTTTTGGAGAATTTTGTAAGTTTGGTAATAGATCTACAAGTGAAAATTTCTAGGTTTGTGGATGTAGTTGTGCTTGATATGTGCCGTGAATTTGGATTTGATCAAACGGTAAGATTGAAAAGCATGAAGGTTTTCGTGGATTATGGTCTCAAAATTTAGGATTTTGAGGACTAGTGAGGTTTTCTTAAATATCTATCAATCTGCCAATTAGATTGAGGCAAATATTTTTTACAAAAGTAGTCAATTTGATTTCTAATAAGTGTGTAAAGATTGGAAGTAAAGTAATAGTTTAATGAGGAATAATTGGCTTTGGGAGATTAGCAATAAGATTGGAGAAGGAGGCTGATTGACATCCGAGTACATTTTTGAGATTATTATCTATTTTATAATTTCGATTCTTTTTAGTTTTTTTTTTTCATTTTTTTTCAACTTAATTATTAAAAAATGTGCAAAATTTGAGTTAAAATCAATGGTTCATTCATTAATTATTGAGGTTCAAATCTGCTATAGGAATTACTTGGAATTGATTAAGATTTGATTTAGAGTTAGGATTAGGGTTTTGAGTTGATTTAAGGTTTAATTAGGATTAGGATTTGATTAGGATTTTTTTAGAATTTGACTTGGATTTGTTTAGGATTTGGTCAGGACTTATTTAGGATTTTTTTAGGATTTGATTAAGATTTATTTAGGATTTGGTTAGGATTTGTTTAGGGTTTGATGAGGATTTTATTAAGATTTTATTAGAGTTTGACTAGGATTTGTCTAAGATTTGGTTAGGACTTATTTAGGGTTTTTCTAAGATTTGATTAAAGTTTTATTAGGATTTGATTAGGGTTTAACTAGAGTTTGACTAGGATTTGTTTAAGATTTGGTTAAAACTTATTTAAGATTTGATTAGGATTTGATTAGGATTTGACTAGAATTTGACTAAGATTTGATTAGAACTTATTTAGGGTTTGTCTAGGATTTGACTAGAATTTATTTAAGATTTTTTTAGGATTTTTTAAGGATTGATTAAGGTTTGACTAGAATTTGATTAGGATTTGTCTAGAATTTGGTTAGGACTTATTTAAGGATTGATGAGGGTTTGATAAGGATTTTATCAAGGTTTGACTAAGGTTTGATTAAGATTTGTCTAGATTTTGAATGGGATTTAATTAAGATTTTTATTTTAATATTTTATTAATATTTCTATTTTAATATATATTTTTTGAATTTCTATATTATTCTTTTATGATTTTTTTAAAAGGTCTCTAGAAATTCTTTGAATTTCTTGTATAATTCCTTTGAAATTTTAATTTAATTTGATTGATGTTTGATTATATTCGCTAATCTTTAATTATAATTTATTTAAGAAACTATTAGAGTTATTAGGACTTGTTGTTGCAATTTTCCTTTCATCTTCAACAACTAGGTGCATGATACATTCTCAAGCCAAATACCACATAATGCAACAATGTATTGGTACCTTGTGAGGCAAGTTAATTTTGTGTAATAGCTTGTGGAACAAGCTAACTATGTGGCGCATACATAGATAACTTGCCTTGCAAGTTAAGATATATGGCTAACAAAATCAACATATTTTGGAGGTCCTATAAGACATCGCCATGTAGCTCTTAGTTAAGAGTATATATAGAGGCAAGAATGAAGCCTTCTTCACTCTTGTCAATGCTTTTTTAATCCTTAGTCTTGTTTCAAGACTTTCTAATCTTCTTGTTTTTGACAATAGCCATACCAATTCAATATTATATTATCTTTGAGTGACTTTTTAATTCCTTTCAATGACACAAGAGTATATTGAAGATTTTCTTTCTTTGAGATTCATGTCCTTGATACTTAGTCTTGAATAGAATTGGCTCATAACAACTTGGTCATCTCAATTGATGACACAAGCTAATAACCTAAAAACAGATGCATAAACAAATATATAATGTGACTCTTCACATAATAAGCAAAATATAATTATGCAATGTTCTTTAAATGCATCTACAAATGCTTCTAAGAAAGCTTCAAAATTACTCAAGATTGAAGATCTCTTTTCAAATCAAGGAACAAACCAAGCTAAGGCTTGTCATGCAAGCAAGGTTTCAACTAAATCAACTTGTAATTCCTATGTTAAATAGCGCTCACATTGTAGAAAAGTTACTAATCAAATTTGATTAACAAATCATTAAAACTTGAAGTGTGTGGCATTAATTTTTTCTAAAAGACTTATTCAAGGCTCCTTACATTATTGAATAAGTAAATTTTCTTCATGATGTATAAATACCATTGCCTCTTTGGATATAAAAGCTTGAGAAAGTGGTTGCATCATAGGTTGAACTATTGAAGATCTTACATCACCATAAAATCTTACAAAAATTCCTTCAATTTTAGCAATTCTATGAAATGAAACGTTTAACATATTCATAATAACATCTAACTTGGACTCAAGAGATTCAACTATATTATCTTCACTTCTAGCCATCTTGAAAGATAGAAAAGGAATTTCTAAACAATATTAGTTTAGAGGAGGATAATCCATAATCTCTAAAGCACTTAGGTGCCTTTAAGAACAAGGATAATCTACTCTTTATTAAGAAGGATCAAACTCTAATATTGATAAGAGAATTAGTCTCGACAAACTATTACTAATATACTATAAAGAAGACTGAACAAGAAGTTGAGCAAAAGAATTTCAATAAGAAAGTTAATAAGAACTTGATTAAACTAGATGAGTACAAGATCAATACCAAGAGAGGTGAAGTGAAGCTCCAAGAGATGTGTTATCAAGATTGAAGATCCCCTCAACCTCAACCAATATATACAAGGTATTAAAAAGATTCTCTAGAAGTTTCTATGTAGCTTGAAGACAAAGCAACTTTAGAAAGCTTCTTGAAAAGTTTCTATGTTACTTAAAGACAAAACAACTCTATGAAGCTTTCTAGGCAACATTTAAGAAATTACATATATGATCCATTCTTTCATACTATGTTGTAGTTGAAGCAACTATCATATAAATTTGTCAAAATGTCCTCCACTAAACAATAACTAATTCCTATAAATAAAAATGATTTCTTTGTGTATTACTCAATTTGGCCAACATAAAGAAAAAGCCTCTTCTCCACCACTCTAAACCCTAACTTGACCGGTAGAAGATGTCATTGAGAAACCCTAATCCAAAATCCTAATCCAAAACCCTAAATCTGCTATCAGAAAGCAGCGACAAAACCAAATTGGCTAACCTTCTTTGCTACAACACAAACACGCTCACTGCCTCTTGTTCCAACTCCATCCATCGCACGCCCAACCTAAACCCCCTGCCTTCCTCTATTCCGACCTTCGCACGAGACACCGAGACGAAATTCCATTTAAAAACAATAATCTCACTTGTATCTAAACAATGTAAGTAAAAGCAAAAAAAAAAAAAAAAAAAAAAAAAAAAGTACAGAAAAGAAATGGCGATATTGCGAGGTTTCTCGGTCGAATTTGCCCCTAGCAACTTTTGGAGGCAATCGAGCGCCCCGCCGTGTTTCATGTGTAAAGAGCTTTTCGCAGTCCCTTAATTGCATAGGGCTCTGGAATGTCTGGGAAATGTTCAACACGTGATGATATATCAAGGCGTGTTGCTGAAGAACTTGCTTGTTGTAGGTGAGGGATAAGTCTCAGTTGTATATTTTTTTACATTTTGAAATTCTCTGATGTTGAGATTTGTGGTGATAGTGTAATGGTTTGTTATTTTTGGAAGTAATTCGGAATGTATTAGCAACATCAGTTTTGTGTGATATGTATTTTAAGGGGGATTTCTGGCAAGTTTAGAAGCCAACATTGGTATCGATGGTGATGTTGGTTGTGAAGGTTTAGAAGGGTGGAATGTGAGAAGCAGCTGTGTGCACTTGTCGCGTTGTTTTGATTCTGTTCAGTTTAGGGTATGGTTTTTGCATAGCCAGCTGCAGCTCTGTGTGTGTGTGTGTTTTAATTTTTTAATTTTTTTTTTTTTTTTTTCCCGTCATAAGTGCATAAATGGCGCAAATGCAGACTGTCGGTATACGAGGACGGTTTTTCTCCTTCATCCGCGCTCCCAAAGGGCCTGGTGATTCGGGGAGTTACCTGTACTTGAGAGATGGCATGCTTGTGATTCAAGATGGGCGAATTGTTGCAATCGGACCTACTAATGAGGTGGAAGGAACTTTGCCACCCGGAACCATCGTCACACATTACGAGCGTGAGTTGATTTTGCCGGGGTTCATTGATACTCACATCCATTTCCCTCAGACCCAAGTCATTGCTTCCTATGGCACGCAGCTTTTGGACTGGCTAACGCGCTACACCTTTGTGGAGGAGCAGAAGTACTATGATCCCGCGCACTGCACCCGACAGGCAGCGTTCTTTTTGGACGAGCTGCTGCGGAATGGCACAACGACGGCAGTGGCTTATGGATCGGTGCATCCGCAGTCAGTGGATGCGTTCTTCACGGAGAGCGAGGAGCGCGGGACTTGCATGATAGCTGGTAAGGTCATGATGAATCGAAACGCTCCACTGGGGCTTACAGACACAGTGGAGACGAGCTATGCCGACAGCAAAACCCTAATTGAGCGCTGGCATAAGCGGGGACGGCAACGATATGCTGTGACACCTCGATTTGCCATAACCTCCACCCAGGCACAGTTAGAGGCCGCTGGAGCCCTCCTACGGGAATTCCCGGATGTGTACATGCAGACCCATTTATCCGAGAATTTGGACGAGATCGCATTCGTCCAGAGTCTCTTCCCTGATTCCAAAAATTACACAGACGTATACGACCGAGTTGGCTTACTAGGTCCACGGTCTTTGTTCGGCCATTGCATCCATCTGAACGAGGAAGAACTGCAGCGCATGGCAGATACAAGCTCCGTTGCCGTGTTCTGCCCAACATCGAACCTATTCATCGGCAGCGGCCTCTTTGACATGGCGTCCACGGAAAAGAGCAAGAGACCAGTTCGAGTAGGGCTTGGGACTGATGTGGGTGGCGGCACCAGCTACTCCATGCTGCAAACAGCAGCCGAAGCCTACAAGGTGTTGCAGCTCAAGGGCCAGAACTTGCCACCAGCAACTGCATTCTACATGATGACTCGTGGAAACGCAGACTTGCTGAGCATGGGAGGTGAAATCGGTTCTCTGGAGTGTGGTTGCTTTGCTGATTTCGTTGTTCTGGATTCTAAAGCCACTCCTGCCATGCTCCACCGCATGGAAACCATTGGCGACATGATCGAGGAGGAGTTGTTTGTTCTGATGACACTCGGGGACGACCGTGCTGTGCGTGCCACATATGTGCAGGGCCGCAAGCTCCATGACCGCAACCTCGCCTAGAATTGTGCATTCCAAGTAGGCTCCACTGCAGCTCTCGCACAAATACTCTCCATGGATTCCCTCCCATTCAGTTTTTCCACCATTTTTTTTGTTTTTGTTTTTGTTGTTTTTAAACTTCCGGTTAGTCCGCTCACGCAACCCTGAGTGATGATGCAAGTGGGTCTCACAATTTCCTGTCATTTTTGCAACAATGGCTGGGCCACTGGGTTGCTTTACTTTAGTTTTTTTGTTGACTGCTGTCAAAACAAGATGGTGGGTTGTTGGTGGCTTCACTGCATCACCACTTCTTCATCCGTTCTTGTGAAGAATGCCAAACTCTGTAACATTATGCTTTCATTAGACTTGTCTGCTCGCCCTGGATAACCACCTTGGTGAACTGAACAAGTGGAATAACACTTTGTAGCTTGTAGCTCTCATTGCAAATTGCAGTTTTGTATTTTTTCAACATGGTATTAGTGCGTTTTGTTTGCTAAGTGTATGACTCCTCTCGCTTCTGTAAATGGAACTTATTCTTCAGTTTCTAAAGTTGTAATGGTGAGTGAGTTTGAGTTTCTTTACCTTAGCGTATCAAGCTTCAGTTGAATATTTGTAGGAAGCAATAAGTGATTATTTGTGGATGACATAATAAGAGGTGGTTCGTGCTTACAGTTCATAACAATGTTAAGCTTTAAAATTTGGTTGTTGTGGATGAAATAGACTTTACAATCAAACAAATATATTTTAGAACTGCACAATGGAAGGATGAACGAATTTGACATACACAACCATTTTAACCAACTAAATAATGTTTAATATATATATATATATATAAAAATTAATATGACTGTTACAGAAAATTTAGCAACCAGTTCAACTACACAAAGCATGTGAATGAAAGTTTTTATTTCTAATTCAAAAAATGAATTTAACTTTCAAATATTTTTACATTCAAAGTTTATATCATGGATGTTATTAAAGAAAAAAATATAAAGAAAAGTAGAAGATATTTATATGTGTATGTATATATATATATATATATATATAGATAGCTAATTTTATAAATTAGCTAAAATAGTTGATAATGTATCAAATGAAGGGCTAATATTTGTATGTTAAGTTATTTACAAAGAATTTATTCTACTTTTATACTAAGTTTGAAGGAAACTTCTTTCATTACATATATAAAAAAGTTTGATCCAGCAAGAATAAATTGCAATAAAAAAACATATTAAGATTAAAATGTAGAAACATCTTATAATTAAGTCAAAAAATTACATTATTGTCTTCTTACTAAGAGTATTTGTATACATAAAAATGCAAAAGACCTTCCAAATCATTGAAGTAAAGACATATCTTGTTTTGATGAAAAATCATATACAAATAAAATTTTAAGAATTTAAGATATATATATATATATATATATATATATATATATATATATACATAGATATATTTTACTACAAAGAGTAACAAATTATGATTTTTACTCTTATAATGGTGGTAGACACACACTATCCAAATAATTTCAAAAAATTACAAATAAAAAGTTAAATAAGAACAAATCAAAAATATAATACAACAAAAAAAAGAAATTTATGACTTTTTTTAATTTAAAAAAAAAAACAATGATGAGAAAAATCAGAAATTATAATTATATATAGAAGCTAAATGAATTTTGATTGAAGTAATTAATTTATGGATTTTAGAGAAATAAAAGAGTATTATTAAAAATATATTAATGATTTCATAATTCAAAGAAATCAATTTATATTTAAAACTACTAGAGAAGCATTAACAATGTACATAGGGTTATATGATGAGTAAAAGTATAAAAGATAAATATATATATATATATATATATATATATATATATATGTATATATTCATCATATAACCTTATGTACATTTATAATTGTATATACTCATCATATATATATTTTTATCTTTTATACTTTTACTCATCATATAACAACAATTATAGATTTATACATATGGAATTGATAAAATTTTAAACAAATGCATGTAATATTGAAGTAAAAACAAATAAATAAAAATAAGTAGTAGTAAATAGATTTTATATGCTTCAAAAAAGCATTGATATTTTTTTTTTAAATGCAAATTAGATCATTAGATTCATTTGGAGATATCACATGATTAGTTTTTGGATGCAAATGTGAAAACAACTTATAACTTAAACACTTACATTACAAGCCTCATAGTTCTTATGAAGCTTTTATATAACCTTCTTAATAGCTAGTATACAAGTAAGACTGAGGCCATATTCAATCATATGAATGTTATAATTAAACATCAAACTTAATTCAAGACCATTTACTATCTTTGTGTTTAACAATACTTATTTTTATTTTTATTTATCTTATTTATGGTTGTTTACTTTTGTAATTTTTTTCTTTGGCTACTAAGTCATTTTTAAGTAATACATGTACATGGTGTTGTTTTTAAAGTTTTTTTGAAAAATATTTCTTATACAATGTTTTTGAATAATATATAAATAGAATAGACTTATATGTTAGTTCTTTAATATATATATATATATATATTATAGTTCAAAAACTAAAAGCGTATTTGTAAAATTAAAAAATTAAAAATAATAATAATATTAGAATCTATTTTAATTTGAATTTTAGAAAAATAACTTTTCAATAAAAAAAATATCAAAACTTAAATTCAACAATAATTGTTAAAGTTTATAAATTATTTGTAAAATTAGTGGAATTTGATGATAATACATGTTTTTTGATTTTATTTTGTATAAAAAGACATTATAAGTTGTTTAAATAAAACATCAATAGATAAATTTCTTAATTCGATTATTGAATAAAATCAAAAATCTAGCTGCAATAAAAAATGAAACAAACAAAGAATATTTTAAAAATATAATATTAAATAAAATATTTTAAAAACATTTCAGTCTATTTTTTTAAAAAAAATAGTAAGATAATAAGTTTATTCTTTTTAAAGGCATAACAAAGAATTTAATATTAAAAAACTGCTTATATTTCATCAAAATCTAATTTCTTTTCGATTTTGTTTTACTATAAAAATAAGATTTTGTCTATAAGACAAATTAGAATTTGTTAAAAATTTTGCAATGAAAAAATTTACAAGTTAATATATAGAATCCATAATTTCTTGTTTAAAGTTGCTATTTTTTTTTATTATTATTATTATAGTATATCAAAATTTTATATTATTAATGTTTAATGTTTTTATAAAAAACTTAAAAAAAAACTATCATATTTTTATCATATCTTTGTTTTATTTAAATTCATAGGACAATATTTTAGAGAAATATAAGTTTATCCAAGTGCATAAAAAAATACTATATCAGTTTAAAAACTATAATTTTAGAGAACAACATGTTATAAAAAGAAACAAAATTAAGACTTTTGTAATTTGACAAATGGAAATAATTAGATCAAATGTTGTGTTTTACAATTAAATATAGGAAGAATAAAACTACATGGTCTAAAATTTTATTCTATTTTTTTAAGTATTGTTTAATCCTTATTTAACTAAAGCATGATTATCAAAAGAAGTAGATCTAGTGGTAAATACGAAAATCTATACAAAAACATATGCATTTAAATTTTATCAATATAGGTTCTTACAAAAAAATTAAAAACCTAAAAGAAAAGATTATTATAACTTTACAAATAAGATATTAGTCAAAATTTAAAGTTTAAAAATACATGATAAGAATAATTAAAATGTTACTATGTAAAAAAAGTGATCACAAGATTTTCAGTACCAAAATATTAATTTATATTTTTGATGTATGAAAAAAACATCTATATATATATATATATATATATATATATAGATTTTTAAAATATTAAAATTGGTATTGGTTAAAGAGATATGTATATCTTGAACAATGTCTTTGGTTTCTTGAATTATCTTACATAACATTTTTTTGATCTAAAATTCTATAAATCAGTACAATAAATTGAGTATAGCTTGAATTATGTTGTGTATATATATTAAAAAAATAACATATTGTAGAAAAATCTATTTACTACAATATTGAATTTTGAGTGACTTTTACAGTAACTCACACAAAATTTAATGAAATAACAAGTATAACAATGTAGAAAAAAATATGATTAATTAGAAGCTAAGAAAACCTATTGACATCCAAAAGTAAGTTAAAATTTAGAAGAAACACAAAAATCCAATAGAACTCAAGAATTTCACACAACAACCCAATAATTCACAAGGAGGAAGAATATTAGCAAATTCTCTTTGAGTTACATAGAATAAACCATATGCTCTTTAATGTGTCCTATACACATGGCATTACAACCTAAATATGCTATTTTATTGTCACCAATCAAATCTACGCACTAAATAAACAAATAAAAAAATAAATATATATGTATAAATACCCCCTCTTTAGCATCAAAGCTCCAGCCATGCGGAATCACTAACTTGCTCCCCACGCACAAACAGATACCTAGGTACTCCCGGGGATCGTAACTATTGATACCCGAATCCAGATCGATAGCCAATCACGCTTGAGGAAAATCAGGGTATCATTAACGAAACTGTTTGGTGCCTACCACCACCAGGTCGGGTCCGCGGAAGCTGCAGAAGAAAAGTCGGGACGCGGTGGGCGGGCAAGTCAACCAAAACTGACCGCGTTTACGAAAGTGCCATCTTCTAGGGGGTCGAGGGCTTGCCTTGTTACCCAAGTCTCGTTCGGGCTGCCCGGGGAAAAAAAGGGCAATTCCAGCCTGGTTCAAGGCCTCCGAGAGAGAGCCATCATTGTTGATTCGTTGTTGTTGAAGGAGGAGATGCTGCTGCTTTGACGTAGCAGTAATAGTTGTAGTTCTTCGTTGCGAATGTGAGAGCCCCGCTGCGATTGTGTGTCTCTTGTGGTGCGTCCATGAGAGTCACTCTGTTGCCTATAGCTCTTCTTCTTCTTCTTCTTCCTCTTCCTCCACTTTCCTCGTTTACAGTGTGGGAAGTTAGTTGACGGTGTCGGTTTCTACCGCTATTTGAGAGGGTTTCTAGTTGCAGAGCGTTTTCTTGTAGTACTTCGCGGTCTGTATAGTTTTTTCGAGACTCCTCGACGCTGCCTCAGTGCAACCCTAGCTTGGTTGGGGTTGGATAGCTTTTGGTCGTTTTTTTTTTTTTTTTTTTTTTTTTTTTTTTTTTTTTTTTTTTTTTTCTCCTTTTTCTTCCAGATTGTTGATTGAAGGAGAGATAGTTTCTGAAGTCATGGCTCGGAGACTTCCTCCTGGTTACCGCTTCCATCCCACTGATGAGGAGCTTGTTGGGATTTATTTGAAGTGTAAAATCAATAACAAAAAGATCGAGGACAACCCCATCGCCGAGGTCGACCTCTATAAGTGCGAGCCATGGGATTTGCCTGGTACGTGTCGATCCCAATTTGTCCTATTTGTGCTATTATTGGGTTTAGATTTGTGTGTTTTTCATGCTTTGGGAATTCTAATTCGGGCTATGTCTTGAACATGCAGATATGTCAGGTGTTAGAGGGAATGATCAAGAGTGGTACTTTTACAGTGCTCGAGATAAGAAGTACCCGAATGGTTTCCGCGCCAACCGAGCCACATCGCGCGGCTACTGGAAGTCGACTGGAAAAGATAGGACTGTGAAGTGTACTATTTCAACTGGCATGAAGAAAACCCTTGTTTACTACATAGGGCGAGCTCCTCGCGGGGAGCGCACCGATTGGGTTATGCACGAGTACAGAATGGAGGATAAAGTTTATGAAAATCTTAGAGGCCCACAGGAACCTTTTGTGCTGGCTCGAGTCTTTAAGAAGAGTGGTTCAGGGCCAAAGAATGGGGAGCAGTACGGTGCCCCGTTTATTGAGGAACCTGACAGCCCTCTTGCTGGTGAAGAGGACGAGGTGGCCCCTGTGGAGCATCCTCAGCCGGAGGTGAAGGTAGAGCCTGCATTAACTCCACAGGTGGAATACAGTGAAAGTGAAATCAAACCAGCGGTCGGGAATGACATGGTAGGTAACTTGTAGGCTCCTTGTGAGTATGCAAGCTCTTGGAATTTCTGGGATTGCTTTAGTTTGAGTTTTAATGTTGCATCATTGCATAAGTTTCATCAATTATTTAACCTGATTGTCTGAGAGATTGCACGGGTTTGTTGCGAAGTCTTTCATTTGGTAGAAATGCTGATGATTTTTTTTCCTATGCTCAAGTGTGATTTTCTCTCCGCAGGGTTTTAAGGAGTTGGAGGATTACCTTTCTGACGAGCTCTTCGAAACGAACGATGACAATCTGGCGGATGACAACCCAGATGGAGTGCCTGACAACACTCCTAGGTCTGCAGAAGATGGCATCACCTTGGAGGATTTCATTGATGAGCAGTCTGAGGCAGATAATGTGGACGATTCATGGAAAGAGGGTGTAATCAACAATGTAGATGACTTCATGCTAAGCGATGATATCTCGGATGGGGATTTCGATATCAGCAGCATACCACAACATGGGATGGACATAAATGATATGCTCGCGGGTCCTGCGGAGTTCGTTTTTACTGACGGCTTTTTGGAGATCAATGATCTGATTCTTCCTGGAGGAGATCTGGAGAACTTTAGCTCCAACATTTCTGCTGGTGAGCATGAAGGCCTCAGCTCCAGGGGTTCTGAAATCCAATTACGTCCTCGAAGAAGCAGCCCTAGGCGGATGCAGTTTGACCCTCAAGGTGACACTGCAAGACGAATGTTGTTGATGCGTCATTCCGAGAGCCAGCAGAATGATCTTGACAGAACCCTGTCTTCTTCAAGGAATCTACATACCAGTGCGTCGTCTCGGAATCTGTCGGAGTTTGCTGAGCGTGCGACATCCAGTCTTGGATTTCAAAGACAATCAGAAGAAGGGTGTCCCGTTGATGGAGATCTCTTGAGTATGGCGCGAGAAGATACCGGTGATCTACCAGACTCAGGTACTTGCAGTGGCCGTCACTGTTGATGAGACTAAGTGGTTGTGAAGTGCTTATTTGTATATACAAGCGCGGCAAAAGTAAGTTGCTGACAATTCTAAAGACGATGTTTAGGTCGATACTTCCATAGGTTGGAAACCTCCCGAGTATTATGAAGATTTTTTGAAATACCACTCCAATTTTTTTATATGTACGACCTGATTTGGGTTATGGATTTATCTATCTGTAGTGTAGGCATTAAATAAGTAGTTTCATGCACTGTGTTGGAAATTGCAGCTCGCCATCCCAAAGTGTTGATAGTATGTTCTCCTCTTGTACAGATCTCTGGTGGAATTCCGTAGGTACGCCGCCTTCGTCTAGCAGTGTGGATCGGCAGGATGCTACTTTTCCATCCCATGAAGGAACTTACAAATCAGAGTTGGATATTGCATCTTCTATTACTGATTCTGCTTCTCATTACTGGCAGACGCCAGATTGTCTTCCTTCATCCTCTCCTCCAGTTGCAGACAATCCAGAGAAGCCTCCTGGGAAATTGTCGGCAAGAATAAATAGTCTCCTTCCGCCGATTCTTCCAGCTTCAGCTGCTGAACTACCCAGCTTCTCGAATACTTATGTCACAGCTTCTGATACACATGTGACTGCCTTAACTATAACCTGTTCATGCTCTGAAAATGGTGCCAAGACTGTGCAGGCTGTTATGATGAATATTGCTGGAGGGAAGGTACACCAAGAAATGATGTCTGGCACATGGAAACCCTGCACCGAAGATTGTAAACAACAAAGCTGTGTTCAGTGCAGTCAAAGAAGAAAATCCCAAAGACCAGTGGCGAAGGGATCCAAGAGTGGCTTTGTGTTTGTTTTCTTGTTAGGAGTTGTCTCGACAGTTATATGGTTCTTGCTATTGCGAAGCTCTTGGCGAATGGCAAGATTTATGCATGATCTGATTTTGTAAATTTGCCCATTTCTACTCTTAGTTTGTAGGTGAACGGAGACCTGAGCTGTACATTTTACTCTTTTCTGAGCCAGACCTTGTAGATTAGTTGATATTTTATTGCCTTAGGTCAATTCAATCCATGGGCGATTGATTTGCGTTATACATCCGAGAGAAATCGGGGCAGATTCCAGACTGCAACCATTATGAAATCCAACGACTGTAATTAGTTGGAGTTAATATTTTGAACTATGTGACTTTTGCAAATTGCTGGTAAAAAGAACAATAATATTCCGATGCAATTTGTCTTACTGAATTCAAGTTCCCTTGTATTCGCTTCAGAAGAGTTCTATAGCCCCGAATGTTAAAATTAATGGTTGTATAACTTGCAGCCTTTTGATAAACCATTCGTGAAATGTATTTCTGATGTGTACGTGCGAATGTCTCGAGTGTGTCTGTTAGATGCTACTTATGACACAATGGATGTAACACGCCCAGTTGCTGTATTTTTCATACATGTTCAGATACTTAGATGCTTTGAGAAACTCGCTACAATATCGAAAGGAAAAAACAGCAGTCATAACTTCGTAAAGTGAACAGAACCCTTCAATCTATTCCAAAGTTCATTGCATGATCCAATTGGGCAAACCACAAAATTCCAACATCTAAACATTTCAGATGTCTGCCGAGCAAATGCCTCTCTTCACAAGAACTGGAACGGAGCTTCGAACAAGCCACGCTGTACGCCTCAAGCATTCAAAGAGCATTGCAGATGATTTTGCAAAGCTCTTCCTACGCATCACCCCTCATGAACGACACCGACGTAATTCTACTCAGATCGAACTGAGTGCGTTGATCCTCCGTCTCTGATACCCTTGGAGAATGAGAGATCAAAGACTATTATCTTGAAAAGAAGAATTGTTCTCGTCGTCCACAATCTGAGGATCATTACAATCCTGTTCTGTGGATAAGCTGTCAAGGTTTAGGGTTCAGAGTTTGGCGACACGCATGCCCCCAGAACGGGCTGCAAAGCATCCGTCCAACTTCAGCCTGGGGTTGCACCGGCGTTCTGATCATTTTCCCCAAGTCATGCTGAGAATTTCACAACTGTAGATGATTGTAGGCGATGATTGTCAGCCGCAGAAATGGGGACTCTACCCTCCGTGACCCGAATATGCCGCCTATCTCTCTCTCTCTGGAGCATATTGCCTTCATATCTCGTCGCTATGGTTTGTTCCTCTCCCTGTGCGTCGTTACTGAATATAGTGTGGGTGCGTCACGCCGCTCCTATCCGCAGCGACGCTTCCAGCGCTACAAATCAGCTTGAGGCTCTGGAGAGAAGAAAACACCGAGGTTTAGAGGCACTGACTAAGTTCGACATCTCTCAGACAGTGCAGGCCGGGAGAGTCCAATGGCGTCCGATTTCATCGTGGGGGCGGTGTGGGAGCACACGCGTCCAAAACCTTACCCGATTCCGCACATTATCTCGATTCTCCAGCGCTGTTTGGACAGAAATTAGTCCCGTATCCCTTCGCCAATACATCTTCAGCAGACACGTCTTGCACGAGACCCGCCTCCAACCGCAATTTGTATAGGAATTGAAACCCAGCTTCATGGCTTGGGATTATCCTCCGCCTCACCCTCCCACTTTCTGACTCCTCTCGAAATGACATTTTGGAGGACGTTTGTCTGTAGACGTGCACTATTTGCAGATGTTTGTTTCTGCCATTGGAGCAGAAAGGCCTCGGGTTACGGCGCAGTCTTGTAGAAGTCGGTTTTTAATTTTTGGATTACATGATTCCTTTAATTACTTTGTGTTTCGGGAAAACTCTCATTCCTTTGCTTTTCGAATCACACCGAGGATGAAACAAGAATCTCGAAGTTGTATATAACTGGCTCTCATTAGTGAAGCAGACGGCGGCTAATCCAGTTTGGATGTCCTCAGCAACACTTCATAAGCTTTATGTCAATCGGGTGAGCTAGAAAATGCCAGTGTAGACACCCAAGCCGATTCTCCTAAACTCGCATCACTAATTAAAGAAGTTAAAGTAGTCAGTCCAAGGTTTCTGATTCTCACAACGTAGGATGATCAACAAGCTGCTACTTCATCACACATTTGCAGAAGTGCAACAACACTAGCAGACTTGTACGCACATCTCGAAGACCTTTCACTCGTGACACATCGTGACTCGCCCCACTCATTCAGAGATTAATCCTTGAGAGCTTTCCCAAGCAGTTAAACCCACAGCGAAGTCTTAAGAATGCAAACTATGACCAAGAATAAGGAAATTTAAGTTTCGGAGCACCCTAAACCTAGCACTTGAGCACGAATAAGCCCGAGCCTACTCACAGTGTAACGTAAAAAACGCACAAATACTTGAAAGCTAGCCCTAATCCTTCTCACAACCTAGATTGGGTCGATTTTGCCCGTAAATATGACTCAGTACAGTCTCGGTATCCAGGGTCCAGCATCAAATTCTGCTTTAGACTTGGAATTGCGACCAAGTTTTTTACTCTGAATTTTTACAACACTGAGAGGCTGGAAAGAACAACACCACTGCATGTTTCTTTAAGAATTTCGCTTGGAGTTCGTGACGATGAGTTCTCGTGAGGTATTCTAATGTGAGTGAAGCCCTGCGACTCGTGCTCTGTTCCTGCGTGGCGGCTGTAATTAATGCTCGACATTGTTGAGAGAGTTGGCATTCAAGCGTTTATAAGCGTGTATCGTGTGTGAATCGTGCGTTAACCTTCCCTAAGATGTCTTTGCTCTTTTCGTAATTCATTAATGCATCTTCAGGGTGAGGAGGTGTCGGGATTGCTGAACCTTCTGTTCGGATTGTGTGAATTGTATATTTACTTAGTTTTCTGAACTGTCTTTTCGCATTAACTGAACTGCACTGGGCGTTACGAGCGATTTGTGACCCACAGTATGAAACACCAAAACCCTATCTGCGGCATGGTTGAGAATGAATTTCTGATACGTCATAGGTTGTGTTGTGTGGGCGATTGGAACGAAGCTTGTATTGCATTGCGAAGATTTTCATGACTTGCTCAATTTAGCTTTTCAGTTGAAGGGGAGGTGTAATTTCGGTGGCGTATGGATGGCTGAGAGAAGACAGTGTGAGTTCCCTGATGCGTCAAATTGGTCCAGGTATATTGCAAGATTTGTAACTGTAGCTTCGATCTGTGGCTTGCATTATGTTGGTGGGAGCTGTTTTTTGTCCATTTTGGTTTGTGACTTAAGATTGTCATGGCTGTAATAAATTCTATTGTTGCTTTAGCTTTGCATGTGCGTGGATTAGGGACTTGAATATTTCTCCTGGGGTTTACAGTTTGGCCAATCTTATAGGGATAGCAGGTATTGAGAGATGTTTCAGGATGGTTTTCAACGCTAAGAGAATTTTGGTTTTTGTCTTTGAATATCAATGTAGAGGTCTTGTATTGCACTACCATTCTTCTTGGAGCTTTTTGTCATTGTCTGTTCTTCATTCATTTGTACACGTGTTTGGTGGATGCAACAATGCACGGTCCTCTTTCAAACTGCTCAGTTCTTGCAGGTCACTGAAGTTTCATTGAGACATTTCACGCGAATGCAGAAGCGACGCTTCTGCTTGAAAACACTTTGTGCATGAGGACTTCTTGGTTGGCTTGCCTGAGGTTTTGTGGTGGGACGGAAGCTTGCAGTTGGTCCTTCCCGTAAGGGAGCTTCAAACAAGTCATAAGTATGGCATATAGGCGTCCTTTTCCGGACTTGGAAATGCCCACAAGTTTGTTGGGCACTAGTTCGCAGGCCACGAGTTCGCAGGCCAGAAGATCGCTAGTCGACCTTGGGGATAGCGATGATGAAGGCGACACTCAAGTAGACGAGAATGCGGACAAATTTTTATTGGGTGTCGTGGAGGTCAATGTAGTTGGTTTGCAGTATTACAGCGGTAGGGTTTCGGATCGAGAGATGGTGCGCCTGATTCGAGAGCCGAGCAATCCTTATGACGGGAATGCTATTCAAGTAGTGAACATTCTTGGTGATCAAATTGGTCACATTGAGAGGTATAAAGCATGTCATCTGGCTCCTCTTGTGGATCAGGCACTCGCTTTAATTGAGGGAATTGTGCCACATGGGAGCAAAAACAAGTTCAAGATGCCATGTTTGGTGCATATCTTTTGCAATTCGGTAGCTGAGAATATTGTGAAGCAGCGCTTGCGGGTTGCAGGCGTGATATTGCAACCCCCGAAGACAGAGCTGGAGGGTTCAGAATTGCAAGAATATGCGAGCAACGTTAAGAAACCCAGAAAGGAGCAGAAGAAATGTCTTGACGACATATTCGACGAACTGGTGGAGGGAGCAGGTGATCGTTGTATCATGGACCCGTCTCCCGCGATCACTTCCACCATGTTTTCTCATCAGAAAGAAGCGCTTGCGTGGATGGTGCGTACTGAAAATTCGGCCAGTTTGCCGCCGTTCTGGGTCACCCAAAAAGTCCGGGGTAGTAAAGATCTCATGTACAAGAACATTATCACTAATTATCTTACCGATAAGCGCCCAATCCCCTTGCGTGGTGGGCTTTTAGCTGATGACATGGGGCTTGGGAAGACGCTGTCACTTCTGGCTCTAGTTGCCACGAATCGACCGGGAGCTACACTGTCACCCATTGTGAAGGTAAACCCAACCGTTTCAGATGCATCGGAATCTAGGCCTAAAAAGAAACGAAAAGTTGCGGCGGCTGATGAAGTCGGGTTTGAATTAGGAGTCACCGATTACCCCCCTCCAGTAAGCGGACCCAGAACCACCCTTATTGTCTGTCCCTTGTCGGTGTTATCGAATTGGGTAACGCAACTGGAAGAACATACAATGCTCGGGAGCTTGAGTGTGTGTTTGTATCATGGTGCCGATCGAATTCGAGACCCAGTAGTTCTTGGTCAGTTCGACATTGTTCTGACTACTTACAACATCTTGGCCACAGAAGGGTGCTCTGAATTTTCACCTTTACAGAAGGTGAATTGGTTGCGCATCATCTTGGACGAATCTCACCTCATAAAGAGCCCAAGTGCTCAGCAGACCAAGGCTGTTGTGGCTCTCAAGGCTGAAAGAAGATGGGCTGTAACAGGCACACCAATCCAGAATACAGCTCGGGACTTGTTCAGTCTCATGCAGTTCCTTCAGTTGGAGCCACTTAATGACAGCTCGTACTGGAGGCGAACCTTAGAGCGACCGTTGACGAATGGTGATCCAAGTGGATTGACTCGATTACAGGTAACGCTGTATACTTGTGACCACTTACAGTCTTTACCCTCATCATACATCTTATTTAATTAGTTTTATTTCCTGTTTTAGAGTACACAGTTGGATCATTCAGCACAATCTTATCAAATAATTCTGTGTTGGTCATATTGTATGTGTGTCTCTAAGGATGCTAGTTAGAATGGAGTCGGTGGTAGCGTTTAGTCTGGACTTTTGCTTTTTTACTGATGTATTTTATATTCATAGTAACGGAGGGATATCTGAGTGGATTTTAAAACTTGGAACTTCATGCAGAAGTCTGTAATTGTAAGTTGTCAATCTTGTGTGGCATGCAGGCGCTCATTAAGGCAATTGCATTAAGGAGGACAAAGAACATGCAAGTGGATGGACGGAGGCTAGTAGAACTCCCTAGCAAGACGATTTCCTTACACTCTGTGGAGCTGACTCCAGAAGATAGGGAACTGTATGACAAAGTTGAGGAGAATGGCAAAGAAGTTATTGAGCGTTTCATGGAAAGTGGTACTGTTTTGCAAAATTATGCTACGGTATTGCAAATTATTTTGCGACTGAGGCAGATTTGCAACCACTCAGCCCTTTGTCCAGCTTATACTGAGATGTTTGCTGCTGAACTCAATCAAAAAGGTAAGATGGACACCTCAACATTTTAGCCCTGTTTATGAAGGGAATGATTCATTATCTTCGCTTGTAGCCATCAGTTGAATGTATTGGATAATTCTAAGCATTGTCAAGTTGCATGTAGTGAATCCTTTGTCGTATGAGATTATGCCTGTTTCTCGGTAGACTTGTTAGTATACTGTGTGATCCGCTGTGAATGTTCCAAAGGATCTAATGGAGGTATGTGGCTTCGTATTCCACGGGCTTGCTTATTTTTTTGTCCATAGCCTAATCACATCGATTGCTATGCATTACATTAGATTACACGCCTACAGTTTAGGCTGATGAGCTGTTATGTGAGTGAAAGCAGTAGTCGTATTTATTTTAACAAATGCTTGCTGATTTGTGCAGATCCGAAAAATGTACCACCACCAGAACTCCTAGACAAGCTTCTGAATATCATAAAGGGTGGGGCGGACTTCGATTGTGCAATCTGCCTGAATCAACCAACAAATGCCGTGATCACTCCTTGTGCGCATGTTTATTGCCAGAGATGTATTGAGAAATCATTACTTCGCAACAAAGAGCAATGCCCAATGTGTCGCTCTAACCTCTCGGCTTCAGATCTCATGGCTGCCCCCAAGGAGGAGGGTGCTGAGAGAGGCCAAGCTGTTGAACAAAATTCAACAAAATCTAGTGCAAAAGTAGATGCTCTTATTAACTTATTAGTTGCTGCGAGGGAGAAGGACCCTACTGAAAAGTCGGTAGTCTTTTCTCAATTTTCTCAAATGCTGAATTGCTTGGAGGGCCCTTTGGCGGATGTAGGATTCCGCTTTGTGAGGCTGGATGGGTCAATGACATCTAAGAAGCGACAGGCAGCATTGACGGCGTTTCGTTCCAAGGACCCCGACAGCCCTACAATCTTCTTACTCAGTTTGAAAGCTGCTGGAGTGGGTCTCAATTTGGTTGCAGCGTCTCGTGTGTACATGGTGGATCCATGGTGGAACCCTGCGGTTGAAGAGCAAGCTATGGATCGTGTTCACAGGTTGGGTCAAACCAGGGACGTAACGGTAGTGAGGCTCATAGTTACTGACACCATTGAAGATCGAATACTGGAGCTACAAGAGCGCAAGCGTGAGCTGGCCACTAGTGCATTTGAGAAGCGCTCTGCAGAGCAACGTCGTCTTCTTCGTATACAAGACGTCCAGCTCCTCATGCGGCTGTAAGGCTTCCAAATACTATGGCTGGGACTGGAGTCCAGTCATCTGTGAAGGTTTATTTTTTTATTTGCATAAGCCTTTCAAGCGATTTAACATGTGGATACATCATGAAGGGTTTAGAGTATTTCCTACACGACTTATCACAAGTTGAATATATCTGTAGACTCGATTTGCTTAGGATAACTAACGCATGTAGCAGCGAAAGTTTCGTCTCATTGTTGCTCTCGAGGTTCATCTCTGCCTCATGTTGGCCTTTTGGATCTAATTTGTTCATATAGAATTAGAGCTAACCAGTGACCACATTTTGGCAAACTGGGTTGAGTAGACGAGCAGAGATATCTGTCTACAAATTTTTCAATGTGAACAAAGCTGGCCGTTTGTAGATACATCGACTGCAACATTGTAGAATTTGTGATGTATTGAAGCATGCATGGTTAATGATGGAACTATTTTAGAAAAAAGAAGATAAAGAGGATACTATGATACAAATTATTGCAAATATCATTTTCTGTTTTGTTTTTGAAACTAAAGTTAAAAGCTGAAGATTTAATTCAAATCTAAAATTTTAACAGGAACCTGTTTTAATACACAAGTTAAATGCCACTTTGTACTGTTGGAAAACAAAAACAAAAATGAAGCAAATAAAACTTGTTATAAACAATAGATGTGATGTGTAAGAATCCAACAACAAAACAAAGGCAATTTTTTCAAATATGATTTTTGTTTTTGAAATCTTTCAATGGCCAAAAAATAAACAAAATAATTATAGGGTTAAAATAAGTTTGGCATGTAGAGATTTCAAAGTGTTTTGGAAAATAATCATGTTGAAAGATGAATTATGAAGAATAATAAAGTCATGCAAATACAATAAAATGGTGAATATTTTGTTGAAAATTTGATACAACCTATTCAAGCCATTCTACTTATTGAGTATATTCTAAGGTTGGTCTAATAGATTTGGAACATTAAGAATTTCTTAGTACATTTCTAATTAAAAAATACAAAAAAAATTTCAAAGTATAATTTATCTAATTCCTTCACTTTCTTGGTACATCTCTAAAGAAGTATAAAGAACAATTTATTTATTATTTAAAATCAAAGTACAACCATAATTATTGAATTCCTTCAATTCTTAATTCTAATTATATTTGATGAATATTTTATTAATGTATGCAAGTTTTGTGATTTTTTAGTACCTTTTTAAATTTTGGAAATAATTACTTAGCTTTAATTATAAAAATAAATATATAGAATTACAATTCAATGAATTTTATATTATAATTAATCCTATTTCACTTAGTAGTTATTATATAATTATTTTAACTACTTTATTAAAGGCTAGTAGTAAATTTGTATACTTATTTAATACTTTGGAATAATATTGCATTATACTACATTTAAATATTTTTACTAGTGATCAAAATTTAAGTAGTCTAAGTTGTAATAGGTAGAGCTTTTGTCCAACACAAAGGAGAAGAAAATTGGTAGAAGGAGATGGAGCTTTGCAATTTACAATAAAGGGAGGAAATACTAAGGAGAATCTGACAACTTACAATCACTAACAAGGATTGCAGATCTTGTAATGTGTAGTCCTTAGTAATACATTGAGTAGACTCTTCTTATCAATTTAACATGTATTAGGTTTTGGTGGAAAATGCATCCACAATGGTTGCTTTGTCAAAAGAGTGGAGCAATAATCTTTTTAGACATGTCTTAGTATTAAAATTTTACTAAATCTCATGTAGTATATAGATGGTTGTCATAAGCTATGCTAATGTAGTCTTATTGGGTGCAAGAGAATATAGCCTAATCCAATTGATAGATGGCATGATTGAACCAATGATAAATATAGAAGAGGACAAAGTTACTATTGATGATTTAGTAGAATTGGTCTAAGAACAATATGAGGCAGCAGTATTAAATCCCACCAAACCAAAAAAAAATTGTCTTGCTAGAAAGATACACCTAGAATTATATTGAGTTCTTCATTAAGAATAACAAAAGAAGATTCCTATCACAAAAGAGGTAGTAGCTACTAATGAGCTATTTTTATAAGACCATATGGTAGTGGCCATTTTCATTGATAGGAAGCTATCTCTTCCAGCCTTCAATAGCTGGCTATCGCGGTTTAATAGAAGACTAACAAATAACAACTTCTCCTCTAGTAACATCATATAATTTAATTTCTTTAGTCTCAAGGCTTGATACAAAGAAGCAATAGAACAATTTTTTTTTTTTACACCATATCACAATAGAAACAACTTGTACATGTTTCAACTATGGATATCAAATTTTGACCACAACTATAATAAGAGTATGCTAATTTCAACTTAGATTACATTGAAAAATCTCTTATAGCAATTCATTTCAATAACTATGGAGATTATTAGATCACTAGGCAAAATAATAGGAATGGATGTTAGGAATAGCCTCTTTATTGAGCCCTATTATTGCATAGCTCTTAACATCAATAAAAGGTAGAAAATTAACTTGGAAATTGAAGACAAACATACAAATAATATGACAATAGTTATGATAGATTATTCAAACTTGTCTATCCAATGCCACTTTTACTTCAAAGTTGATGACAAAGTGAGCCAATTTCCTCAAAGATTAAGTATAAATTGAGCAAAAAATCTTGCATAGCCAATAAATGAACAATAGTAGGTGAGATTTCAAGGCTAAGAGGCGACATCAATAAGACAAAGTCATAATATGCAAAAGAAGAGAAATAATAAGTTTTAAGCTTAAATAGATAAGACAATACAATCCAATGAAGCGCAATCCAATATAGACTGCTTTATTAGAATACAAAGACACAAGCAAGGCATGAAAAGACCACCTCAGCTTGACAACACTCAATAAGTGCTCACAAGTACAGAGACAAGAAGTACCAGTGAAGCTATAAGTTTCATAACCTCTATTTCAAGAAGAACTACATGTCTACAACATTGATCTAAATCATACCATACAAACATGTAGCCACCACAACAAGGAAGAAAATCTTAATCGATATGAATTAACCACATTTAATTCTAACTACAAAGTTTTCCAATAAGGCATTTCTTTGATTGTAAAGGTCAAGTTGACTACTGTCACGGATACACTATACAACAAGAAAGCTAATAAGAACTTTATTAAATTAGATGAGTACAAGATCAACACCAAGACAGGTGAGCTAAAGCTCTAAGAGATGTATTGTCAAGACTAAGAATTCCTTTAGCCTCGACTCCAATATATAATAGGTATAAGCTTCTTAAGAAATTTTGATGTTGCTTAAAAATAAAGTAACCTTAAGAAGCTCCTTGAGAAGCTTCCATGTTGCTTGAAGATAAAGCAATTCTACGAAGCTTCTCAGACAACTTCCTTAATCTTCTTAGAATTTTTTAGAATCTAGTGAAATATTCTAAGAACCTTTTATAAATTTTTAAAAATCTTCTAAGAATCTTCTAAAAACATTTTAAAGCCTTCTAAAATCTAATAGAATATTTAAAAAATATTCTTAAAATCTTTTGATTGAATGTTTGTAACAACTATTTTATGTATATAAAAGATATAATTATTCCAAAATAATAAAGTAAAATAACTTCAATGGATCTAAACGTAATAGCCAAGTAGTAACAAGTAAACAATACTATATCTACTTTTAAGCCAAGAGGTTGAAAAAAATAAGGCCATGTCTTTCATAATATCTAAAATACAACAAAGCATGCATGAATCAGATCAAAGAATAGAATCAATGTACCAAGGTTAGTTCAACGTAACAAAAATTTCTATACTATGCAATATCATGGCATGGTTAAATAGGGACCTTTTTTCAACCTAGAATCTAGTAGACTCATCACCAACTCTATTTCTACTCAGTGATCTCAACATCAATATTTTAAAACCAATAGATAGAACTTAGTCATAAGCATATCTTCAGGCATAGTATTTTGATTAGAATAAAAAAAGATAAATATTAATTAGACATTATTTTATATAAATTAGCAATAAAAGCAAAAGCCATAGTTCTACTTGAGATCAAATAAGCCAAAACATACCACAATGGGCGTCATTACACCAAATAGTAAGGACAATACTATACAATCAAGATAATTTCTTATTTTAAGGTAATACCACCATTATATCATCATGATCTTTAAGTCACTTATATTTAATCTGTGGGGCTTGAACATACCAAAGAAAGTAGATAGATTGAGAGATTATATTAAGAATTATGAAGGAACATAGATATGGTCATGCTATGAGAATATAAACTTTAAAAGAATAAGTTCAATAACATAACAAAGTAACTTTAGTTGGAATGTGCCAACTAGATGGCATAAAGAATATTTAGGTAGAATATAGATGGTTTAGAAGGAGCAAGCAAGGATGGCCTATACACCCTTTTTCATGAGAAATTAGTACCATTGATGATAAGTAAAGATATTATCTTAAATAATAGAATATTTTGGATTAAATTAGAGGGTCTTCAAAGAAGAGACTTAGAATTGTGTAATGTATATAGTGTGCAATTATTCATCTAATAGAAAATTATTACAATACTCCTATCAAATTATAGATAGTAATTTAGTGGCAACTTTAACATAGTTGAATGCTTATACAATAAGTCTTCATATTGTAATTGATTCCTTACTACATAAAAAAGACTCTTCTAGCACCAACTTAAAGCCACCTTCTGCTTGAAAGATCTATTAATCTAGACAAATAAACTGCAATATATATAAAACAACCACATAAAGGATGGAAGTAAAGTTCTAGTACAATTAAACTATCTTAATGTATTTGCATACCTTAAAAACAAACTTCATGATCCCACCAAGAATTACATCATCAAAGAAGAGAATACAACCTCAGACCACTTATTAGTGGAAATGGAGCTTGTGTTTTAAGACATAGGGTTGAAAAAGACATACTATAAGATAAATACTCTTTTCATATATATGAAAGAAGTTAAGGAAGCAATGGCCATTATTTGATTTCGAGTAAGGAATATAACCTCCTCATACTTCATAAGAATATAAAAATTCATACGCTTCTATAAACTATTCTTCCAACACCAAATCAATGCAAGAAGAAAGTAAAAGCAAATGGCTAAAGCAACCTTAGAAGCTCCTCATAAATATTTGCAAGGTCATCTATATGATATGAAATAGAAATCTCAAATACAAAAATACAGGGCCAAACTACTTACAATTGAAACAAGAAAATACAAAGAACATTGACTACATGCCAAAATCCAATGGTAAATAAAAATAAAATATATGACTTAGGAGAATTTTTTAATTGTCTTAAAAAAGCCACCAAAAAGATCCAACTCCTTGATAAGTCGGCAACTACATGAAATCCAACTACAGAAGTAGCATGTTTGAAATTTTACTTTAA